TTAAATGGACTTCCCTTTATATAAATAACTTTTCGTTTATTTATTTGGTATGTGTCTTTCAATCATGGGAGTCCCTCAAAATACAGAGGAAGGGGCAGAGACTCATAAGACTTTAGGTTGGATTTAGGACAGTGCTGGAACTTCTTTTTCCTTCTAGCTAGCTTACAAGGAGGCCGGCGGCCCTGAACGGGTCCTGGACTCCGGGGGCCAAAACGGCTAGATGGGGATGTTTGGGCCCACCCGGCCACTGACGCCAGGGTTGCCCGAGCTCCTCCCGAAGGTGGCCGAGCAAACTGCAGAGCAGCAGGCGAGAGGCACCGGGCTACAGGCAATCGCTCCTGGCCCGCCAGCTTGGCGCATATAGCTGGAGCCCACTAAGTCCACAACCCCGCGGCTACCGCTACGTCACGTGTTCCTTCCGCGTTCCGAGTAGCGAAGCAGCTGTGAGGAGGATGGTTCCGGCTGCCGACCCTCTTCTGCCTGCCTCTAGGCTCCGAGCGCCCACCTCCTCCAACTGGGAGTTCAAGCTCCAAGAGCGCGTCCACACCGGGCGAGAAGGAAGGCCTCTCCTTGCTTCCCCGAGATGTTTTCCCTCCAAACCCTGAGAAGCACCGTGCATTCAATCGGACCAGGAGCCAACTCTCGGGTCTGGGCTTCCACCTCGCACCGCAGAGTTTACTCGTTTGCCTGTCTTTTATGGCGCTGGGGTACTTTTTCCAGCGGCGACAGTCCTTATGGGACAGAGCGGGGCTAACGCTTGAGCACCTCTACTTTGAAAGTTTGTTCTTAACCGAGTCTAATTGCACCTGCTTTTGTAGAAGAATATAAAAGCACCCCACAGCTGCTTGATTCAACCTCTGAGTGATCCAATGCCAGGATTAGAAGGGACTTTGTTTTACCGTTCTGGGAAACTGTCTCGGTGCCCCAAGACACAGAGTTTATTCACAGAGTGACCACTATCTGACAGCCTTGCGTGGTCACTCAAGTGGTCACTCCCCCATAAGGAACTTCTTTTGATATTCGCGTCAGCGTTTTGTGAGTGAGGGAATTCAATCGCAAGACACCCGGGGAACCTGCTCAGGTCGGCCCACTGTGGCGGAAGTCAGGCTGGTCTAGCGTCTCCAGGCTGGACCTCTTCTGAGATGAAGGTTTTCCTATTTTGATCAGTTATTTTATTTTTTTAAACACTTGAAGTTTTCTGAGGTCCTCAAGTCCGCAGAACGCAGTGGAAGTTGAATTAGTGGATTTTATCATTGTGCGTTCCTGTCACTGGAGAAAGTGATACCTGGCTAGCCATTTTTTTCCGGTGGCCTGTGTGCCCCCAGATGACAGGTGCCATAGTTCAGGTGTTGGCTCTCCTTCCTTGACACCTGCGCAGATCCCGGGCCCCCCCACCTCTGGACATCAGTAATTTAATTCATCGTGCTAACCACAGCAAATGAGAGGGTGACCTAATTGACTAGTTTCTGGCTTCTGGACCTGGCCCTGAAGTCCCACTGTGTTTTATGTCTCTCTCTCTCTCTCTCCCCCTCCCTCCCTCCCTCCCTCCCTCTTTCTTTTTTCATTTTATTGATTGTAATTTTTTAAATACACGACGGTGGAATGCATTACAATTCTTATTACACATATAGAGTACAATTTTCATATCTTTGTATACCGAGTATGTTCACGCCAATTCATGCCTTTATACATGTGCTTTTTTGCATTACAATTCTTATTATACATATATACCACAATTTTCATATCTCTGTTTATATATAAAGTGTGTTGACATCCAATTCAAGTCTTCATACAAATACTTTGGATGATGATGTCCATCACATTCCACCGTCCTTGCTAATCCCCTGCCCCCTCCCTTGACCTCCCACCCTTCTTCCCTATCTAGAATTCATCGAATTCTCCCATGCTCCCCTGTTGAGAGCCACAGCCCAATCAGAATGACCCCTGGCATTTTGCCATTGAGATGATGATTTGAGTTAAGCTGTATATAATTGTTGTGATACTGGATTGATTGAGTTGTATATGGAACCTGCTCAGGAATAGGGAGGCTCTGGGAATCTGCCTCGGGTGCCCACTACTTTGGAGTTCCCGTGAGTTCTTGCGGGGGGTGCCGGGAGATTGGGCCCCGAGCCCATTGGAGTGTATGTGTTCCCGGGAAGCACTCGTGCCAGTGTGAGTTGGAAAATAAAGTTGTTGCTGTTTGAACCTACAAGGCTTTGTGGCGGCTCTGGTTATCTGTGCCCAGCCAGACTGCACACTCCCCCTCCCTACCGCACTATGAGTCAGCCTCCTTATATGAGAGAAAACATTCAGCATTTGTTTTTTTGGGGATTGACTAACTGCACTTAGCATTATCTTCTCCAACACCATCCATTTGCCTACAAATGCCATGATTTTATTCTCTTTTATTACTGAGTAAAATTCCATTATGTATATATGCCACATTTTTGTTTTATCCATTCATCTATTGAAGGGCATCTAGGTTGGCTCCACAGTTTGGCTATTGTGAATTGTGCTGCTATAAACATTGATGTGGCTGTGTCCCTGTAGTATGCCGTTTTTAAGTCCTTTGGGTATAGTCTGAGGAGAGGATAGCTGGGTCAAATGGTGGTTCCATTCCTAGATTTCCAAAGAATCTCCATACTGCTTTCCATAATGGCTGTACCAATTTGCAGTCCCACCAGCAATGCGTGAGTTTACCTTTTTCCTCACATCCTCACCAACACTTATTGTTGTTTGTCTTCATAATAGCTGCCATTCTGACTGGAGTGAGATGAAATCTTAGAGTAGTTTTGATTTGCATTTCTCTAATTGCTAGAGATGATGAACACTTTTTTTTTTTAATGTTACGCAGTTTGTTCTTAACAAGCTGGATTATGATATCTGTACAGACTTTTTTTTTTTTTTTAGAGAGAGAGAGAGAGAGAGAATTTTAATATTTATTTCTTAGTTTTTCGGCAGACACATCTTTATTTTGTATGTGGTGCTGAGGATCGAACCCGGGCCGCATGCATGCCAGGCGAGCGTACTACTGCTTGAGCCACATCCCCAGCTCCCACTTTTTTCATATATTTGTTGATTGACTGTATTCTGAGAAGTGTCTGTTCAGGTCCTTAGTCCATTTATTGATTAGGTTATTTGTTTTTTTGGTGCTTAGCTTTTTGAGTTCTTTATATACCCTAGAGATCAGTGCTCTATCTGATGTGTGAGGGGTAAAAATTTGCTCCCAGAATGTGGATTGTTTCTTTTGCTAAGAAGAAATTTCTTTTGATTCTATCCCATTTATTGATTCTTGGTTTTTAATTCTTGCACTATAGGAGTCTTATTAAGGAAGTTGGAGCCTAATCCCACATGATGAAGATTAGGGCCTACTTTTTCTTGTATTAGACACAGAGTGTCTGGTTTAATTCCTAGGTCTTTGATTCATTTTGAGTTAAGTTTTTTGCATGGTGAGAGATTGGGGTTTAATTTCATTTTGTTGCATATGGGTTTCCAGTTTTCCTAGAACCATTTGTGTTTTCTAAGGTGCAGTGGGGCAGTGGACACCGGCGAGGCTTGCCCTTGCCTTTGCCTAAGGGTGCCCTAGAGGAGACGGAAATTCGCACCAGGCATAGTTTCAAATTCTATGAAATGTGGCTGCTGCATGCTTGTTTCACAGAGCTGGAGTCCACCTCTTGATATGAAGGTATAATATCTTCTACTTCTGCCAAATCTTATATCAGTCTGCAATTATATTATGATGTGAGGCTTTTGATAAGGTCTGTTTCATTTTTCTTTTGAATTTATCAAGAAGTTTTTATTCCATCGGTTAACCACTCTTTTTTTGGATCCAGGGCCAAAAAACAAACAACAGAAGTATAGAGGACCTCAAAGAGGTTTTATTTATGTGGGTTAAAGGAAATATTAAACATAAGAATGTGGAAGTGCATTATTACATTAACCATCCAGCAGGGTGATGTCTTTACACTCATGCAGCATCTGGACAATTCTACTGTAAGCCTGTGAGAGAATGAGGGTCAAAGAGGAAGGTATTTTAATATTATGTAAAACTTTTGACTTTTCAGTCTCCTGGAACAGTTTTTGGGGACACTCACAGTTCTCTGGACAACACTTTGAGAATTCCTATTCTATTCTGTGAATGAACTCTCTTAGTCTCTTAGAAGTTTGGAAAGCTAGTCAGTAATCAGGGCAGTATGCTTGAGCCACATGCTGAAGAGGACATTTGTTAGGTTTTTGGAAACTCTGGAATCCAGCCTCCAATCTAACATAGCAGCTGGCCAGGATAGGATTCTTTTTTTTTTTTTTTTTTTTTTTTTTTTTTATCAGCCACAGTGATTTATTGAGTGCTTTAATAATACAAGTGTACATCAACTGATCCACAGTCAAAAGTGGCAGGTCCCTAAGAAATTTACAAGCACTTTAAGTAAATCAAAATACATATTATTTTGTTCAATCCAACAGTCTTCTGTGTGGTGAACAGAAGGCTAGTGATAAACAGGGTCTCAGTAATGCACAGTGATTCTGATTGAAGCTTTTGTACAAAAACTTGTTCCCAGTAGCATGCACCCACCAATAAAGACTTCAGTACAAAAAATTAACCCTAAGCACTACATTTAAGTAGAAACAAGATAGAATTCTGAATTTGTGTTTTTCTGAAGAACAAATAAAAGGAAAAAAAAATCAAAGTAAAACAAACAACAAAAAACAAAACCACACAGTATTACAAAGCTTTATAAGAAAGCTCTTACGATTATAGATCCAATGTTATTTGCACTGAAAATAAAAGTTCCTATCCACACTGATGTGGGGAAAAATAATCCCAAATCTTTCAAGTTAACAGAAATCAAAAAGGTAATAAAATGAGAGAGAAAGAGAGGGGGGAGGGAGAGAAAGAAAGGAGAAGAGGGAGAAAAAAGGGAGACATACTATCACAAAACAGTTCAAAATTTAATAAAAACTGGAAAATAAGAACCGAGGTCCGGAGGGGTGGCAGGGCTATTGATGCACTTGGTAAATGTGCTTGCACAGGTCCGGCAGGGCGGCAGGCAGCAGGTCCCTATGTGGCGTACTGCTTGGTCCACTGTCTGGCCATCCGGTTGTGCTCTGCTCTGTTGGTCATGTACTGTGTGGCAATGCTGCCCACCAGAGGATCGGCAGGGTTGCATTCTGTAAAAAGTGAGCAGATGGAGAGAAGAACTTTAGAGATGGTTAGGGCTGGACTCCAGTTGTCTTTCAGGATGTCTAGACAGATCACACCTTGGCTGTTAATATTACAGTGATAGATTCTTATTCGGAAGGTAACCTTTGGGGGTTTAAGTGGATAGTCTGGTGAAAAGGTAATGTCAAGAAAGAACACCCCTCCTTCATAGACAGATCCAGGGGGTCCCAATATAGTTGACCTCCATTCATAAATATTGTCTCCTTTGGGTCCAGCACTACAATTGGGAGGAGGGTCCAACATAATTTCTGCAAGTTCCTTCTGAATTCTTTTAGCACTAGTTGACAATTTAGCAGCTGTTTTGCTGGATATTTTCCCCTCCTTTTTCTTGGGTTGAACTTGCTCTCTTTCTGGTTCTTGCTGAACACTTTCACGTTAGTCTCCATCAGAACTTCCTCTACTTGTGCTTGGACTGTCATCAACTCTCTGTGCCTCCGTGGACATTTTAGATTCCTCAGCGCCACCGCCCCCACCTCCGGCCATTCCAGCTCCGGCTGCTGCCCACGGTTGCCAGTTGCTGCTGTGGCCGCCCCTGAGTCCTGGAAAAGTCCAGGATAGGATTCTGGAACACTGTTGGATTGGAGGACTGGTTTGGATTCTATCACTGTTTAATTATTAGGTTGTCTGAGTACAAGTCCACCCACAGACTCTGAACACCAGGAAGGCTGTGTCTCTTATCAATATTCAAACAGAACACTTGAGTGTTCTTTGCTGTCTCTTCCTGATAATTTTTATGCTTGCTTTTTCTTCCCTATGGAAAGTTCTTCCCAGACTTATTCTTGTGCTTGCTCCCTTATGTCTACCTGATCATGGTTCAGATGTCTGTCAATGTAACCCTTTCTGATTACCCTATTAAAGGTGATGTCAGAACCCACTCCCTTTCTATCTTTCCTTGCTTTATTTTTCTCAGTAGCTCTTAAGCACCTTCTAATTAAAACATTTTATTTTTTTGCTTTCTTCCCACTCACTTCCACTTCACTCCATGTAATCTTCATGTGGGTAGGGATTTTTGTCAGTTTTGTTTTCTTCTGCATCCTCAGTGCCAGAAGTGTGCCTGGCCATAATAGATGCACAATAAATATTTGTTGACAGAAAAGGGTGAACTAAAGCCAGTTTACTTGAGCATCAACCTGAGTGGGCTGCTGAAAAGTAATATTGGAAAAGTGTAGTTATCACAGGTCCCAGGATGCTAAAATGGGATGACACAAAGGGTGCATGGTCTTAGGGAGCTGGCTGCACTACAAATACATTGTGCTCCTTTGTTCCTTTCATTGCATACAGCTGCCAGGTACCTGTTTAAAATTTGTGTTTCATCTTCCCTGGATTTGTCTTTCTCTTTTGAGGACTATTACAACAAGGTTTAGAAGGGACATGTTCATAGTGTTCAATTTTTCATAACATTAAAATACATGGTTTCTTCTGATAGTACTTGGCAGTCATAATTACAAGGAAATGGGATGGTATTTTTTTTCTCCCATGGAAACAAACAGTGATACTACTGAGAATATGAGTCTGAGGAATTAAGAGGCAGTTGCATCTGTAGTCTGTGCTCTGGGCTGGGGCCTTACCAGTGGGCAGAGACAAGGTAAGAGCTGCCAGATCAGAAGCCCTGAAGACTCTTCTTCCAGCATGAGCCCTTTCAACTAAGTGTCTGGGGAGGGGGACAGTGTCAATACACTGAAGGAATGGTTACTGGTATACAGAGTGGGAAGCAAGTGCCCTGTTTGTCAGAACAGAACTTATTGAAGATGCCCTACACAATAAAGTTCATTTCATTAAAAACACGATTTGAACTTTTGTGTACATGGCAACTATTTCACTATATGGGAATGTGAGAGTAAGATACAATTCTTGGCATTATAAAATTAATGGAAAAACCCCTGAATTGGGTTAACCTAAAAAGAGAGAATGGGGAAAAGTGCACCTAAAGAATTTTATGATGTCAGTATAGTATTTATCTTGGCAGATCATCTGGGATAGGGAAGGGGACTGGGCAGAGCCTTTCTAGACTTGGAGTCAGGTGGCAGTCCTGAGCAATAGTCAGTAGGCTATTAATTGAAAAAATATTTGACTGAATTGCAAGCAAAGTCTGTTGTATGGCAAGGCCTTGTCGTATGCTGTTTGAAACCTGGGACTCTGGAGTGGCTTCAGATCATGGGTGCACCACCTGACAGCTATGAGGTCTTGGGGAGGATAATAAACTTTGCAAGGTCTCAGTTTCTCCATGTGGAAAGGAGTTGTGTCCTATTTAGTTTTCTATTCCCTGATCTTTCTCCTTACAATTTCTCTCCCGAATAGAACAGGGGAGGATTTTGCCCCACCATGCCACCCAAACTGTTCTTGTCTAAGTCCCCAGTGACCTCATTGTTACCCAATGCTAAGGTCTATTCTCAAGCTGTCACTTATCTCTGGCCCATCACTTAACCCACTTGCTTTTTTTTTTTTTTTCCTTCTCAGTTCTCCAGCAGCCTCAAACTGGTCACTTATTGTCTTGCCTGACTGCATTTTTTTCCCCCTGACTTCTTAAGGTTAGAGGGCCTCAGGGGCCAAACCCAGACTTTTTTTCCTTCTATTGACAGTTGGACCTTTGTCGATATCATCCAGTCTCATGACTTTAAATAACACCTAAATAGAGATGATGTCCTTATTTTTATCTCTGGTCTCAGCTTGTCCCAAACTTCAGACTCATGTATCGGCCTACCAACCTGACCTCACCTATAGGTTGTCCGTCATCTCAACTGATCAGCTCCAACACTAAACTTGGGACCATCTTTTTTCATTCTATTTCATCCTGTGGATGGCAGTTTCATTCTTGTATTAGCAAATCCTCTTTTCTAACTTCAAATATCCAGTATTTGAATCACCTCATCAGACTTATCATTTCCACTCTGTTCTCTCACTTGGGTTATTTTGGTAATGTCCTAAGTGATCTTCTTGTGTCTGCCATCATCCCCCAGAAGTCTATTCATCACAGCTTCCAGAGTGTACTTTTAACACATAAAGGCAACTCATGTCACTACTCTCTCAAAAATCTGGGCTAGTTCCCATTCTGCTCAACTTAAAAGCCTGAGCCCTTCCAGGAGCCCAGAGCCCCTGCATGGCCCAGTTTTACATCCCACTTTTTCATCAGTTATCCCTCTGGATCATGTGGCATCCTTGCCTCTCTAATGCATCAAAGACCTCCCTGCCTCCGGCCTTTGCACTGCTACTCTCTCCTTCTGGAGGGACTGCTCTTTTTTCAGATATCCCCACTGTTGGCTCTTCAATCTCTTTCATAGTAAGGCTTAGATGTTCTTGTAGACATCCAATGATTTTCTTGATTCCCTTGTCGAAAAATTGTACCCCACCCTCACACCAGATCTGCTTACATGTTGTTATAATTTGGAGATGAGGTGTTCCCTGAAAAGCTCATGTTAGGCAATGTAGGAATGTTCAGAGGTGAAATGAGATGTGGCTGAAGGAAGTAGGTCACAAGGTATGCCTTTGGGGGTTATGTCTTGTCCCTGGCTCCTAGTGCTCACTCTGCTTCCTGGCTGCTTTGAGGTAAGCAGCTTTCCTCTACTCTGCCCTTCCACAACAATGTTTTGCCTCACATAATGGAGTCGGCCAACTACAAACTTAACCACTTAACCTCAGAAACCATGAGCCCATAATGAACTTTTTCCTCCTCTAAGTTGTTCTTATTGAGTATTTTGGTCACAACAATGAAAAGTTGACTAACACACATATTCTCCACAGCAGTTATAACTAACATTTCCCAAGTCAGGCCCTTTGTTTCATGTACTGTTGTATTCCTAGCGTCTAGAATAGCACTTGGCACACGATAGGCACAGCAGAAATAATTGAGGAACAAATGAGTGTTGAATGAAGTTGGTAGGACAATCCATGTAAATTTCTTGGACAGTGCCTGGTACACAGTGAACAGAATGACTTTATCATCACTACTATTATTACATGGCAGATGCCAGAATACAAGCATTTGTGTTTTTTTTTTTAAATCTGAGCAGTTTTCAGTGAAAACATCATACAATGGCCTTATATGTAGATTAATAATAGTTGTAACAGTGACAATAAAATACGTAATAAAATAAAAATTGATGCATATTGAATAAACTGAATAGGAGTGCAGGTATTCTGTTAGAGTCTGTAAACAAGTCAGGATGGCACCTGGCATTTTGCCAGAGAAATGTTAGAGTTCATAAACAAGTCTGGATGGTGCCTGGCATTTTGCCAGAGGGAGTGGTTTGTGAAGTAACGCCAGTGAGCCATTAAGTGTGGAGATTTCTTATTGGTTGACTGCTGTATCAAAACAAACACAAAAACAAAAACAAAAACAAAAAACCCCATAGAGGGAGACCCTCATCACTCCATAAGAGGATTCCTAGGGGCTGGAGACTCTGTATGTTGTTTATCTCTTAATATTACTTCAACAATTAATCGTTTTTTGTTTTCTTTTTGCAGTGCTAGGTATTAAACTCAGGGGAGCTCTAATCACTGAACCATATATCCCCAGCCCCATCAAGTAGCTTTTTAAAATCTCAAGGGTGTAGCTGAAGCAGAAGCAGAAGCAGGATTTAGACTCACCCAATTAGTGCCTTCTTAAAATGTTAGGTGAGTAGACAGAACTGCAATTTGAATGCTTTAAATAACAAAGTCGCAGGCTGAGATGGATTCTCTTTGTCATGCATGAGGTTTAAGATATTGAGGCAACAGTTATAAATTGGAAAATTTTATTTAAATGTCATGATTTTTGATAAAAGTATTGCTGGCAGCTAAGCTAGGGAGGCTACTGGGATCCTTGCTGGCCAGATTCAGTTGCCTGCTGGCTGAAGAAACAGGCAAATAGGTCGGGCAACTTTGCATATCCCCATAATCTCAGCTACTTAGGAGGCTGAAGCAGGAGGATCACAAATTCAAGGCCAGCCTCGGCAACTTAGTGAGACCCTGTCTCAAAATAAAAATAAAAAGGGCTGGGGATGTAGTTCAGGTGCAGAACATCCGTGGGTTTAGTCCCCAGTCCAGAGAGAGGGGGAAATGATAGAAAAAGGGAAAAGGGAATTTTAGGCAGTTTAATTGAGCTGGGGAGAAATAGCTAGATTGCTTCTTCACTGGTACCACAGCAGTTGCACAAACAAAAGCCAGGTGATTGATATATATTTAGATAGGCTATACTAGACAGAGAGCATGTCAGTTTTAATTTCCTTGGCATCTGTCCTCACAAGGAAGTTTTTGTTCTCAGTAGGAGGAAATCAGAAACTCTGTTTCAAAAAGTCTGTTCTGGAGCCACAGAGCTCTGTTCCCTGTGGCTAGTCCTAGGGCTGCTTAGCCAGTTTATGGAGAGTTGTGGGCTTCTTTGCTGCTGCTCCCCTGGCCTTATCTCACCCCCAGCCCAGTGTTTACTTGCCTGCCTCTGCTCTCACCTGCGAGTGCAGTCCTGTTCAAATGGTGGTTCTGTGAAAGACAGCATGGGGTGGGAGAAAACTTTAGCCAGCTCCACTCTTGCTTATCTTATATTTAGAGATTCTTTGTGATGCAAACTTCCTTTGAAAGGGGTTGTTGCTGCTGAACAATAACACAAATGCAAACACAATTGATCCTGTTATTTGCCAATTCCATATTTTTGAATTTGCCTATTTGCTAAAATTTATTTGTAACCCCAAGCTAATACTCCTGATACTTTTGTGGTCAACTGCTGCTGCATGCAAAATGGAAAATTTTGAGTTGCCAAAGTGCACATTCCAAACTGACACTGAATAAGGTTGTTCTGTGCCTTCTTGTTTCTGCTCCCACACTGTTAACAAGTATCCTTTTTGTGGCTTACTTAATGCCATGGTTTTGCATTTTTGTAGGTAATTTTACTGTTTAAAATAGCCCCAAGTATGGTATTGAAGTGCTCGCTAGTGTTCTAACTGTGAGAATGGTGTAATGTGCCTTATGGAGAAAATATGTGTTAAGTTTTTCAGTGTTACATTCTAAATAAAGTGCCTCTCAACAGAAGCACACATGGAACAAAGTTGTGTATTGACCAGTTGACACAAATGTTATGACCAGAGGCTCTGAGGAATTGAACCATATATTTCCTCTAGGAGCAATGGTTTGGTATTCATGAATCCAGTGTTTATGGGGACTTTATATAATCCATGAATAATGAGATCTGGTTATAGACTGAAACTCCACAATCCAAGGAAGTATGTTACCTAAAAGGAAATTAAGCCTTTTGGATGTGTTCCAAATCTTCTTTCATATAAATCCAAAATTTTCACATTCTGGATTGTGTGACGTGTGGTTCACCCTACATGTATGTCTGGCCTTCAAGTTACTCTTGAACTCCTTGAGGGCTGTCCTGTGTACTTCTTTGAATAATACTTCTTGATAAACAGATACTTCATAAATTACTAAGAAACACTCAGGAGCAAAGGACATAATGACCTGGCCTTAGATGGACACTTACCAACATTAAGTCTTTGAGAATGCTGGAAAGGATACATAGAACTCTGTCCAGTTTTCTTCTGTTGAACCAGGACAAAGAAATGCAATAAAACAGTACAGGGACAAGAGCAAATTAGGAAGCCAAGGCTCATTAAGACCACATTTTCAACCTTAGCTGTAGTTTGGAATGACCAGGGAAGCTTTAAAACTACCACCTTTGGGGCTAGGGATGTAGCTCAGTGATAGCAAAGTCTAGTGATAATAAGCCTAGCAAAAGTTTGGGTTTAATCCCTAGCACTGCCAAACAAAAAATCCTATCTCTGAGACCCAACATCCAGAGATTCTGATGTGATTGGTTTTGGGCAGGACCCAGCCATTGGACTTCAAAAGCTTTACAAGTGATTCTAATGTACAGCTAGACTTGAGAGCCTCTGCCCTTGGGAATGTTGAATTTGAGATCTGAAGAAACAAGGTCAACAAACTGGAGACTATCATGCTAAGTAAAATAAGCCAATCACCCCAAACCAAAGGCCAAATCTTCTTTCTCTTTGATATGCGAGAACACACAATAAGGGTAGGGGAGAGAAGAATAAAGTTCACGGAATTAGACAAAGAGAAATAAAGGGAAGGGAGGACAGATAGGAATAGGAAAGACAGTACAACAAATCAGACATAATTTTCCTGTGTTCACACGACCAGTGAAACTCCAAATTATGTACAACCACAAGAATGGGAGCCTAATTAGAATAAGTTATACTCTGTGTATGTATGATATGTCAAAATACACTCTACTGTCATATATATCTAAAAAGAACAAATTAAAAAAATAAACAGGGTCATCAGGTCTACCCTGTACCTTTGTGAGTTACCTTCTCAAATGTCTCTTATGTGGTAACAGGTGTATCTTTAGATTCCTCTCCAATCCCTGTGCAGTTCATTGTAGGGCAGATAAGGGTAAACCTCTGAACTGGTTATTTCTGCTGTTTTTCTCTCCTGAATCAACATTTTGATGGAAAAATGAGAAAGGATGTTGAAATATTGTTGGCAAATGCGGACTCTTGCTCCTGGCAGATTAATCTACCTAGACTCAAAAGTCTAAATCCTACTTTGATCATTTTTATCTTGAAGTGCAGTTTATTTCTCTAATTCCTTTTTTCCTCCAGATTCCTGACTCATTCTTCCCTCCTGTATCATACTTTGATGTTGTCTCTCTTCTTTTTATCAAATTCAGTTGAATTACTTCTTGTGGATCCATAAAGTGAGACCCACATCTTACTCCTTTGGCATTATCCATGTCCCATAAACCCTAGTCTGGGACTTCATTACTAATAATTCCAAGAAGGCTTTCCAGCAGAGCAACATTATGTACTTTGAGTTGGACCTCATGGACTCCTACACAATCTCTGTCCTCAGCAGCTGTCAGATGATGCCAAAAGCAAGAACCTCTAAGATGTGCTTGCCAGGGACATCTACTTCTGCCTCAAGTGCCACTTGGAGTATGTCAAGCTCAGGATGCCCTTGTGGATGATCAGACCAATGAGGCAAGGGGCTGTATGTAGAGTACCTCTTCACTGCCATTGTGGGGAACCAGGAACACAAGAGGCTCATGATCTGAAATGGACATTAAGTCCTGGAGGTTACCTGTCCTAGACCTGTACCTTGCCAAGGAGGCAGAGTGGCTGAGGAAACAGACTGGGGCAGTGGAAGAGGTGGAAGAGCAGTGCCATCCATTGTATGGGCTGAACCTTTCCCAGGTAAGACTACATGAAGGACTTGGTGGTATTTAGTTGTGTGGGTGGATTTACTGAGTTTCAGTATAGGAGATGGACCAGAGGTATTGCTTGTTTAAAAGTTATCTTTGCTCAAGAATGCTATTTTGAGGATTAAAAAATAAGCCTATTTGTTATCACTTATTTGAGTATTGCCAAAAAAGAAAACATTTTTTTCTTGTCATGTCAACAAATATTGTGTGCTAATGTTATGCATTTTTAATTCAGATAATTCATTAAGAAGCTGCTTTGAGAGACTGTGAACAGATGAATGCCACACTGGTTGTCACAGGGTATGGCCTAGTTTGGAGATGATGCTGGCTGTGGCTGTTTTGGGTAACAGCAGTCCCTTGGAGATCATTGTTGTGCCTTTTCAGGACACTGCCCCCTGGACAGTGCCTTTTCTAGGTATAGTTATGTTCCACTTACTCATGGTTTATACCTCAGAGCACTGGAATTTAGGTTGATTGATGGTAGGAAGTTCTTCACTTCTTATAAAACAAGCAATACTTGATTAAAGAGCTTATTTAATTTGGTGAAAATTGCCTTAAAGTGAATTAGATGAGTTTCATCCCCAGCACTGCATTAAAAAAAAAAAAAAGGCATTAGGTGCTTCTGGGAGCCGGTGGGATGTTGCATTATGAAATACATCTTGTTTTGTGAATATTCTCAGTGAGTGGCCTTGAGATGTTGGTCCTCAGGATTTGGAATGGCTATTAACCCAAATATTTCCTTTAGCAAACTTTGAAATGCTGAACTAGGATTGTTATTTAAAGGATGTAAGGACATGCGACTAAATCAATCAGGGTTCCTCCAGGTGAACTGGGCTGGCACTAAATAATTGCACAGACACAGAAAGTATCTTTTTCTTGAGGTTCAGTGATGGCTTCTCTGCCCTAGCTCCCACAAAGGAGGCAAGAGAGGCAGGGGAAAAAAGAGAGAGCACGCCTGAGACCATTCTATTTATTGAGGGGAAGACATTTGTGAAAGTTCAACCCAAATGAGACAAAGGATTGGGTTTCAGGGGGGTATAGCTCAATCCCATTGCTGAAATTCCTTGCCAAAGGAAGTTGAGGTCCACCTGCTTTCGCACTGCAAGCAGAAGCCAGTTCCACACCTCCATTGCTCAAGGCTAAGGGTATATGCTCACCTCCTACATGCTCAGATCCTATTCATGGAGCCTGGACAAATTAGAGTATCATGTCATTCATGCTATGAATTTCATAACAAATTCTTTAGGGTCATAAGGGAATTTAAGATGTATAAACTAAACTTTTTGTTAGACATTGAGGTTAAGCTAGTAAAGTTAGAGTTTAAATATGGAAGGAAAACACTATACAACTTATTCCTGAGATTCTTGTTTAAAGGTAAAGTCCCCACATTTCATTTATAAACAGTGAAATATTCATAACCTAAGGACTTTTTGTATCCATGCAGATTCAACCAACAGCAGAACAAAAATATTAGAAAAAAGAACTGAACTGGATTGAACATGCACATACTTTTTTTAGCCTGTTGTTATTTCCTAAACAATATAAGTTAACAACTATTTACATAGCATCTACACTGTATTAGGTATTACAAATAATCTCAAGACAGTCTAAAGTATATGGGAGGATGTATGTAGATTATATGCAAATACTACACCATTTTATACAAGGGACTTGAATACCCATGGATTTGGGGGATCCTGAAACTGAAAATGACTCTACAGCTCAGAGACATTTTTTTTTAAGTTCTGGGGATTCAACCTAGGGCTTTTGTTTTTGTTTTTGTTTTTGCCTTGGGGTGCTGGGGATTGAACCCAGGGTCTTATGAATGTGAGATAAGCACTCTATTAACTGAGTTATATCCCCAGCCCTCAACTCAGGACTTTGAGCATATCAGGCAAGTGCTCTACTACTGATCTACAATCCCAGCCAATTCATTAACTGTTAACATATGTATATATACAAATAACTATCATCCACAGTAGGATTTCCATCATTGCATAAAATTATCTTCCTTCCTTCCTTCCTTCCTTCCTTCCTTCCTTCCTTCCTTCCTTCCTTCCTCCCTCCCTCCCTCCCTCCCTCCCTTCCTTCCTTCCTTCCCCCATGCATGACAGGCAAGCACTGTACCACTGGGCCACACCCCCAACCTTTACTGCCAAGTTTTTATTGCAGAATTTCTATACAGAAAAGTTCACTTGATGAAGTTTTAAATGTAGCCATTCTCTCAGTACCCAGGGTGAGAAACAATAGCACCAGCTCCCTGTCTTTTAAGGACAACTATTATCCTGATATCTTGTGTGTGTGAGGCCAGAGTGGTAACCATTGCACTATGAATCTAGGCTGTTTATCCTGACATCTTGGAGCATGAATTAGTTTCACAGTTTTAAGTATCCTACTGCTGAGTTAGATTCCAGCTCCTGACTGCCCCCCCTAATGGGGCCAGTACTGTTACTTCATTAGTTTCAGTCTCCACTCTTCTCTGTTGCCTTTCATCTAGCTCTCTTGACTCCTATATACCCTGTCTTCCAAGGCTCCAGTCAGGTTCATGGCTCCTGGTTTGTGTGGTGCAGGTCCCTAAGATTAACTAACTGAAATTTGTGAATAGAATAGATGCCTGACATGGATACCTGGATTCATCTTGCCATTTCATGGCAAAGGCCATCCTTGCCCCTCAGGATGAAGTTGGGTTGTGACTTCTACTTTATGTTACCCGGAGTTTGTGTCTACTTCATATTGCTGGCTGTGTTGCTGTTCGCTATGTAAAAGAAGTTTGTGAGATGGGAGCTGGAGGTTTCCTCACTTCCACCAAGTCAGCACAAGTGGGTTTCCTTTAAAGATACAGGTTTCCCCAGAGAAACAATGATTACACACCACTAGGCATCTATGAACAGGCTCTGGGCATGGGGCATTGCTATGTCAGCTTCCCCTGAGGCTGAAGAAATGAACTTGTCTAACCAGAAGACTCTCCTGCCCACTTCTGCATAATGGACTGGATGTCACAGTGAGGTATGGTGGCCATCTTGGACAGCCCAGTCTCTTCAGTGTTGGACTCTGTCCTTTGGGACCCAGCCACCTCTAGGTTTGGAGTCTGAATCATGAATCCCTAAGCTAATATGAATGCAGCCACTAGTTCTGGGTTGTCCTCTGCTTTTCACAAGAAGGGCCCGCAGTGTGGGCATTCTATATTCCAAGAATCAGCTAGTTGGATGTAGAGGTCTTTTGCAAACCCTAAAGTGCTCTTTTGTGAATGCTTAAGTGTGATTTGAATTATTGTACAAAGATGGGTTTGTTATTTTCTCTTGCCAATAGATGGCACTAACATATTTTGTATTTGTCTTCTCGGCTATCCCTTTTCTAATTGTATCTTCAGTAATATGGAATGTATTAGCCTTCTTTACCTCTAGGACTAGTAACTCCCTCTCTTGTCTGAAAAGCCGTCCCCCTCCTCACCTTATTTATTTATTTTTTGCTTTTGACAAAATGAAACCTTAAGCAATGATTTAGGCCTGGTAGATATGCTTCTGGATCTTATGAAGTAGTTTCTTAAACCATAGTTTGGGGTGTTGGGAAGATAGGAATCAGTCTTTGGAGCAACTTGTCTTTACTTTAGTCAGTCACCTGACAGAAGAAACAACTCGCTCTAGGATGACTTATTGGAAATATGCAGGGCATGTTGGTGTGGGAGGCAGCCACTGCTTTAGGAGCTTGTGGTCTGGCTTGGAGAGGTTGGGAAAATTCCTACAGAGATCCCATCTCTCCCATTCTCTGGTTAGTAAGGGCCAAGTGAATGCTGGAGGAGTGGGAGATAAGGAGGGGCTGGCAGCCTGAGGAGCCTCATGAGGAGGAGGGGGTCAAACTCCTTGAAGAGGAGGTAGTCTGAGGAGAGGTTCTAGGGATTCCTTTTGTTGTACTCCCCAAGTATTCTTGCATTGATGCATTGGGAGGCAAATAGACTGAGGCCAGCCAGAACTAGGAACAGTTTTCTGGACTAACCCATGGACAGGCCCAGCTAGAGGCAGAGGGTGAGACATAATGAGAATTGGTGCAAAGCAGGTCTGGGCTATGAGGTCTCCTGTTTCTAATCTAGTTCTGCTTCTTAGAGTTATCACCTACCATTTTTAGAAGTTTGATTTACTGAGGGGTTCTTTCAGCCTATATTCTAGTAAAAGCTAGAGAGGTCTAATTTTTCAAATTGACTGTGATGCTGATGGAAGGACTTTCCCACATTTTCCACAATTTATTTGGAACATGGACATCTGATATTCTCTTTTTCCTGGGTAGGTTTGGTTTAAAATAAAGGTCTAGGAAAATTATGTGAACTGTTTGAAAGGGAAATGATCGATAAAATATGTGCAGATCTGTTCATGTACATGTGATGCAACATCCTCAGTAGAAACCTCCGAGAGACAGGTGAGCTGTGTTGTAGGCATATGCTGTGCCCTCTGCCTGGAGCCCTGCTTCATGCTTTTGCTCTGGCTAGTGGCTCATTCACCTTATTCACAACTTCTGAAGGAACACTTCCCAAGTCCAGAGATGACCTTCTGCAGTCTGCTCAGAATCCCTGTGCTGGGATCCTGATCTGCCCTTGAGGCTGGACCATATACTCTTGGTTCTTATGTGCCAAGCTCTCACCAGTGGGAGGTACTCATGAATGATTATTGGATAATGAGTGAGCCATTGTGGAATGTGCCAGCCAGATAGGATATGTGGTAGTCAGATTTCAATGTATGGCTCTGGGGCAGAACCAAGGGCACCACTGAATTTATAAGAACCTTGGCAAACAGAGGACACAATATGAATGAATCCTCAAGACAGAATAGTTGAATACAGCCCTTCTAACAGCTGAGTACATGTGAACCATCATCTTAAAATTCATAGGGAGACTAATCTTTATGTTTTGCTTTGATTCCCTTTTTGATTTTTGACATTCTTTGCCAGCATTAATGTACCACAGTTCTTATTCCTAGGCATAGATGGGTAGAAGTACTATAG